TCAGTGGCGAGACAGCTTTCGACATCATCCCGGGCTAAAAGTATCTTCGATAGCAGCAAAACATTCTTACCAAGAATAGCATTCACTATAAATTTGGCCAGACTTTCAATGCCGTTCTCCTGATGTCAATATGTTGTAGCGTTCATGAGGACCGATCCGTCGGTCCAGCGTCATTTCAGACTCACTGCAATGCCAATTCGATTGCACGAGTCTTCTCATTGGTCCTTTGTTGGGCATTAATTCTTCGATGCTACGATGATCAGTTTTTGCATCGCGTTAGTCTTGATGAGTTCTCCGTTACTTCCCTCTTGCTATGTGCTAACGTTTAGCTTAAAATTGGCGTTCTTCGGCGACTGATCGCTTCTCATCGATTGCAATTCTTGAAGCGCCAGCTTCGACCCTCAGAGCTTCAGAGGGCAATAAATGAAGGCAACTGAATGTCTGATATACTACGTCCCATTTCCCACTTTCTATTCTATCAAACTATTTCGAATCCTGCCGCCCCATTGCACCATAACTACTGTACATTGTTTTCTGCAAATATTTGCTTTTATCATTCAGTAGCTGACATACATATATCATAACCATCACATATGTTATGAATCCGTTAAAGCAGTACCAAAAGCATAAGTTTCATTAGCATAAACACGCATAACTTAAACAGTACTTTTACTTTTCAAGTAAGTCAGGCATGCAACTCCCTAATACATGCGCAGTCATGAAGCTCAGTTGACCACGCAAAATCTACTTCTCGGCCAAAAACTAGTCGGGTTGGAATGTCTAATCAACTCTTACAGAAACGCATAGTTTATTAAAGATCCTATGGCAAGACATTTCTCAATTTTTGTTTAACCTTGCTGTATATAACATGGATTTCTTGATCATACACATGTTTAAAATACACATATTTAATTGATCTTAATGCCAAACTACATACCAAAAAGTATGATCATTTTCCTTAATACCTACAGCCCATATGGGTTTCGACTGAATTGTCAGATATTCAATCTAGGATGTTGTGAGTCGTAATTTTCATCTGACGTTGTGCATAAAAATAATCTTTCGTGAACCTTGTGGACTGAAAAATTAATTTAATATTTAAACAATCAATGCACATCTGTTAGCATGTAATTACAGGATGTACGACAGGAAAGTTATGTAGATTCATGCATTATCAAAGGTTATCTTTAACAAATATATCACTGATAGCTTCAGAACTGCTTAGATTTAGTATATCTCGGTACTTTTATTAAACAGTCCATCGGAATATATTTCAACTAATCAGTCTTGATCACAGTCATGTCTTAAGCTACAATAAGAAACGTTATGAACAATACGGCTGTATATTACAATACCGTGTCAAAAAAATGTCATGGATATAACTGTTCAATGACCGGTTATAGCTAACGATGGTATGCAAATTAAAATGCTTAATAAGGTGTAAACTTAGTTCAAGACTGTCTCCTTAACGGATAAAAAAGATATATGGGGGCGCATATTAACAAAATAAAATAATCTTATTTGCTTGGACAAACAGGTTTGCTGAAAGAACGCGGCAAATTTCTTACGGAACGGAGAGCTTAGGAGGGTACTACTGACAAAACAGTATGCAAACATTCGAACAACTTTTGCTGTGTTCTGCGTGGGTACAAAAACAGTCTTACGATGACATGCTTTGATAATTCCGGTTTGTCAGCTCTGATTCGGAGCCCGTAATCACCGCTACAGACAGCAGAGAGATTTTACAAATCGTACGTATGTATTTCTCTACTTTAATCTGAACGTGCACAAGCCCCTGAAATGCTAATTTTACACTTTGTTTGTTTTAATCAATACGTCGAAGACTTTGTACTATGAGCAAAAATTGTTAGAGAAAAAATTTTTTCATGTATAAACAACGAAGCAATGTTTAAGATGTAATCTTAAGATTATCAAAATAAACTTTGACCATCCTTGCGGGTTCACATATCGTATATAATTTAAATTATTGCACTGTTGTGTTCAATTTTGTTAATTTGGAGTTTAAGCTTTGTCCATCATTTATTGCGTCATCTGGGATATCCAAAACGTGTTCCACTTAACTCGTTCGAGCTACTGCCAAAGAAGCAAGCGTTGCTTTCTTTCAAGAGCACAGAATCCTTCAGTGCCATGCAATGAAATCAAGTTTGGATAAACTTGCGAATTTACTTGGACAGTCGAATTCGTGCAATTTGATTCGAAGGAGGTCGACTGCTTTTTGATTCCTGTCTACGGTTTCGTTTTATCACATGACAGTTGCTGTGCCATGATTTTGGAACAAGCAGCAGTTCGAACGAATTGAGTTTAACGAAATGTACTTTGAATAAATCAACGGGCGGAGAGCACACAAGGTCCTCAAAAATACCCTCTGGCAGCTCATAACAGAATCGAAAACAACTAACTATATAATGATACGGTAAAAGCCAAAAAGCAGGAAATTTTTTAAAGGTTACCTTACAACTGCGTAGGATAAAGGCGCTTTCATTTGTTTTTGGAGTCCTTTGTTTGGCTGATTATGGTGCTGTGCTGAGCCATCACTGCACTGTAGGAGCTTAAATTTCATGGCGCCGTGGCACGATTACATGATCCCATAAGAACCAAGAGGGCGGTGAAATTTTACAGGTAAATCAGGTTCTCACACGAGGTTGTTCTTACCAGAGGGATCGAAAACAGTCATTACCGTTAACGAACTAAGAAAGTCAGAACGATTGTCTTCACTGACGATCAGCGTTCCGTTAACCTACAACGGTATTTATTGCTTTTTAAGTACCGTCAATTATACGCAGTATTTTGCGACACAGATCTCTGGTGAGTGAAAGCCGGTTAGTACTACCGTATGGAATTGGTTTCCAACGTGTCACAGCGACTCTGCTACGACGCGAACCTCAGTCACCGTATCGTGCTCACTTACCGTTCTTGGTTTCGCCCATAGTCTGCGGATGGTCGTCCGCCGTGTAGTCCGCCTGCGAAGACGACGACCCTTTCCTCAGTCTGCTGGCAGGTTGTTGTTGGCGTGACTCCTTCATCCACGGAAAAATCGCGCCACGTCTTTGAGGGTCGACCGGTGCCTGGGGTGTCGCTGTCCTGCCGCACGGCGGTAGAGGCATGTCGCTGCCGTCTGCGACGACTGCACAGAAACTTCTCCCTGGGCCCCCACCGGCGCCGGGCCTCGTCGCCACTGCCGCTGCCGCAGCCGCAGCCGAAGCCGCAGACGCAGCCGCCGCCGCTGCGGCCGAGTCACAGAAACTCGCAGCCACCACGGCAGCGGCTGATCCATACATCGGCGGCGTTGGCCCTGACGACGACGAAGACGACGTCCGATGGTGGCCGGCTAAAAAACGCTGCTCATCGTCTCCGTGTCCGTCGTCTCGTCGTCTTCTTTCCGGTCGATCGTTGTTCTGCATATCGCTCTATGCGGTGCGGCGGTTCATTTTTCTTTTTAATTATCTCTCATGAACAATCGCCTGTCGTGGAAT